AGGCGGCAGGCGGGAATCGAACTCATACGGAAGTGGCTTCAGATTCTCAGTGCTGCGCTTTAACCCGCTGCGCCACCAGGGAGGGCCAGTATGTAGACACTTTAACTAGGTCTGGTCCCCACCCAGACGGTCTCAACAATGCAGCTTGTGTCAGGGAATTGTCCTGGGCTCTAAGGTAGAGTAGAGTTTGGCTGCCTCCATCGGACGGGGGGGGGGGGCGAGGGTGAGGGTCTCCAAGCATCTACTCCATGGGGTAGCACTCCCTAAGGTGCTCTGAACACCCCTTTGGGCTTAGCACTGGGGTCCTCTGCAGCCATTATCTGGACAGCTGTTGCTCCCCAGCCACCCTTTCCATGAAGCAGTCTGTTCTTGGCAAACCCTGGGTCTGTTCTGTAGTAAGGAAGATGATGTTCCTGGAAACAATTCACTCCCACAGCAGGAAAAATCTGGATTCACCTGACCTTACCAAGACCGGAGACGTGAGGTCAGCAAGCTCCAGGCCTGGAGCCTGGCCTCAGCGACAAACTTCCTCTCCACCGCCACATTCAGTCTGTCACCCACACTGCAGAGACTGCTTTGCCATGTCCTGGCACCGGCCCCTTTCGCCCTGCCCGGGACAACCCAGTGGGTTGCCCTGCTTCTCGGCTCCATCTCTCCTCTAAGATCTGGTACCTTGTTTCTGTTAACCTAGAAATTCAGGAGCAAGGAATTTAGGATCAAACAATTGCAATTTGGGGAGCCCAAAATCAGGCAGAAACCCACTTGTGCCCTGAGGAGGGACAAAAGTCAGTGTTTTTTTAGAAGGAAAAAGGATGAGGTCGTGGAAGATGAGCTAATGGTCAGGCAGAGGGTCACAAAGTGGAAACAGGTAAAAGTTCACTTCTCTCAGTCTCTTCAAACAGGATGTTTGTCTTTCTTGCTGTTTTCTGGAGATGTTGGAGGTTTGGCTCGGTCCAAGGGTCAGACCTCGTTTAACAGAGGGTCTCACCGCCCTGACTGTTTGGTCCCGTTTATAAGTGACTCCAGTTATATCGCTTAGCACATTCCTAAAGCAGGGGTGTGTGACCCTGGGATGACGGGAGGGCACTCAGGTATCCCGCCCACCCGAGCACACCCATCCTTCCACCCGCACCATGCCTGTCCCCCTTGCCTGTGCCACCAGGGGCACTTCTGGAAATCCACCTTTCCCACTCCACTCAGACCGCACCATGTCCTGGCCCCTCGCTAGTGGCATAACACTCAGTGACTGAGCTGTTTCTGTCACTTGCCCCCTTGCGTACCAGGCCCCAAGGAGATGCAACAGGGAGGGCAGATTTGACAGCTGGGAAGGAGAGCCTGGGGACTGGCCTGGAGCTGAGGGCTGCTTGTGCAGCCCATGGTCCCTGAGAAGTCTGGCTCTGGGAGGGGGCAGCTGCCATAGGGACTTAGGGTCCGTAGCGAGCCCTCCTCATCAATGTGGAGCAGAGGCAGTGCCCCACACATGCCCTTCTGCCCAGCAGAGGGGCCCAGATGCTAGTGCCATTGACTCCAGGCCAGTGTCTGAGTCTGCAGACCTCAAGGCCCCATGGAGACCTGGGGGAGGCACAGCAGCAGGGCCCGACTCCCCAGGTATCCCAGAGTCATGCTGGTGCCTCCGCTCCCCGGGAGAGACTCGCAGGCCTGAGCCAGTCAGCCCTGTCTCCTCAACCAGAGGTGTGGCCCCAGGTCCAACATCTGAGCTGGGTTCTGGACAGAGGGCCCACCCAGGCCCCGACTCCCCTCCTGCTTCTGCTCTGGGGGTGGCCCAGGCAAGGTGCAGGATGTCTGCTTAGTTTCCTCACCTCCTGTTTGGTTTCCATGTTACATTTCTGGGGACTGAATTCTTTCCCTCTTACCTACTCTCTGGCCTAGCTGTGCCCCAGCTGATGTCCGAGCCCTAAGCTCAAAGCAGCTGCCCTTGGATTTGACAGCATCCCAAGTACAGGCCCCTGCCAACCCCAGGCTAGGACCGCAATTCCTAGGCTGTTTTGCAGCTTGGCTCCCTTGAGGGCCCTAGTGTCCATCGGTGGCGGCAGTCCTGTCCTCTACCTCCTGAGGCCAGACCTCACTTGGCCACAGTTCAAGCTGTGGAGACCCTATCCCTCATCTCCCCAGCCTCCATGTCTGAACCAACCTGTGTGCTCACGTAAGCCTGCACACACACACCCCGCCTGTCTCCTGCTCCGCCCCCTCCAGGACTAACGTGTGCACTCACGTATCTTCTCTTCTGCGGGACTTGCTTTTCCCAGTTAAGCAGGATGAGCCACTCTGCTCTGCAGGGCTGATGAGAGGATTGTCTTGTCGAGGGCTTGGCACCAGTCTCCCCACCCTCTGAGGACACCTGTGGACAAAGTGGAGGATACAGTCGTGCGGAGGCCAGGCTACCCTGGTGCCAGCCACAGGGAGTGGGGAGCTGAGGGGGAGACAGGCCTGGCTGACTGTGCTGTGGCCACGGGAGCCTGGAGGCTCCCAGGAGACACCTGAGATGTGGGCGTGTGTCAGAGGAGGGTTGGAGACTTAGGAGATTGGATCAGGAAATGAGTGATGGGAGGAAGGTGGGTAGACTGGGCAGCGCCCAGGCTGACGGGCCCAGACCAGTGCTGCCAGCTGGACCAGCACAACCCTCCTTCTCTTTGTTTATTTCCTTGTGTTAGCTCTCCTCCAGGCCCTGCCAGGCTCAGAGGGCTGGGCCCGCCTTGGCTCTCTGCCAGCTCCAGATTGTGACAACCCAACAGGGAGCCCATACCAGGGAGTAGAAATCAAAAAGCTGAGCAATGTGTGTGTGTGCGTGGTGGGGGGCACAGGGGAGGTTTCCCATGTGTAAGGGTGGATATTCCAGGCCCTTCTCTGCTGGGGGCCGCTTCCCATGGGGACCCTGGGTTGTGCTCAGAGAATAATGCAGGGGCATCTCCCTATAGCCTGCGACTGTAGGGCCCTGTCGATGGAGACGGTGTTGGGTCTGGGTCTATTGAGTTCTCAGGGACTTGAGACTGGACTTCAGGGCCACCTGCTTTCGGACTCCCCCCAGGTTCCTCTGAACCCTTCTCAGGTCAGGGGAGAGGGCGGTGGGTGGGGCAAGATCACAAGATAGAAGGTGCAGGCAACCCTACTCTTCCTGCCCAGGCCAGTCAGGACCTCACCTCTCCCTCTGCAGGGAACCCAGGCTCCCAGAACAAGGTGGCTGGGTCCCTTGACTCTCTGGGAGGATGAGCAGTCATCTGAAGTTTGTTAGGCACTCTGAGCTCTCAGGAAGCTCCCGTCCCCTGACCTGCTCTGCCCCCCTTTCCCTGGCCCTGGGTTTTAGTGGGGGATCACAATCATGTCTTCTCTTAATGGGCTAGAGGACAAGGCTGCGCTGCGCCCGTGATGTAGACCAGCCTGTTGCACCCACGGAGTTCCGTATGGGGCACAAATGGGCCTCAGCAAGTGTGATGAACATGTGACCTGGTGAGTGGCACCAACCCCAAAACCTCCACAACAAACAAGGGTCTGAGGCAGTGGTGGGCATTTGCTTCCAACTTTATTTGAGAAAAAAAGCAGGTAAATGTATCAAAAGAGCACACAGGTTGGTGGGTGGGGATGGTCAGTGATGGTTCCTAGGGGCTGGGCGTCAGGGCTAATGGCTTCACATGTCTCCACGCTGTTCTGGCTTCCCAGCTTCTGGGCCCCCAATCTGGGCACGGGCCTCACAGGTGACGGGGATTGTGATCTCTGAGGACTGGGTGGCTGGCTTGGGCAGAGGGGCCTCCACGGTGAGCATGCCCTCGGGGGACAGGGAGGAGGAAACCAGGGTGGGGTCCACGCCTGGGGGCAGCCTGGAAGTGGAGAGAGGAGAGAGTTAACACACCTGTGAGTCACCATGTCTCCCTGCACCCCATCCAGTTCTTCCCAGTCCAAGACGGGGTGACTGAACTCACGTGTATTTTCGTGTGAAGCATCGAGAGACGAAGCCGTGCTCATCCTGTCTCTCTTCATGCTTGCCTGTGTGGGAGAGAGAGATCAGAGGCTGCTGCATCCAAACCAGGCCAGGACTCAAGGCAGAGCCAGAATGACTGAGGGATTTGGGGGCCAGGCCCTCAGAAGCGCCTGGAAAGTTAGGTTTCAGGGCTTTGGGAATGTATGCACACACCCCCTCTGCAGACGGGAGGGAGGAGGGCCGGGGCTGGCTCCAGAAAACACCCTGCTCACACCCCCCAGGCTTGGCTGCTTGGAGCGCGCCAGGGAGAGCTGGCCTTCTGGGCTGGTGCTAACGCGGGAGCAGAGAGGAGAGGACCCGAGGGAGCCAGCCGCAGCCTCCATTCTAGAGAAGGGGCTGGGCTAGGAGGCCATCCCCGCTCCTGTCTCTGGCTGGTCGGTGGCGAACTTTTCTTTGCTCGCGTCTCTCAGACCCGCCCCCCGCTCAGTGCGCCGCACCCCGCCCCGGCCGACCCGCGAGAGAGACGGAAGGTCTGCGCCCGCTCAGCCAGCTTGGTCCCCGCGGGGCCGGGGACTCACCGGTGATCTCCACCACGCCGTCCTTGGTCTTGATGGTCAGCTCCTCGGGGGCGAAGTGGTTGACGTCCAGGGACACGCGCCAGCGATCGGCGGTGTGCCGGATCTCGGAGATGCCGCTGCTGAGCTGCCGGCTGAGCGCGCGGCTGTAGGCGGGCGCGGCCAGCGCCGGGGGGCCCTCGACCGTGGCCGCGGGCAGCGGCCGCACGTAGCCCGGCCAGCCGCTGTGGCCGAACCACTGCGCCATCTCCTCGGGAACGCGGGACATCCCGAAGGCCTGGTCGAAGAGGCGGCTGTAGGTCGGGTGCCAGTCGCGGAAGGGGTCCCAGCTGGGGGTCCGCAGGAGCGTGAAGGGCACGCGGCGCTCGGTCATGTTGGCTCTGTTCGGGGCCTCTGACTGAACCCGGAGAAGTGCCGGGCGCTGTACTCGGCAGCGCTTATATGGGTGTCCAGCCGGGTATTTTTAGCAGGCGGTGTTTCAAGTCTCTATTAATGGCAATGACAGGCTGGGGCAGCCCCTCCTCCTGCATTCCTCCCCTAGCATACCGGGACTGGGGCGGGCTGAGGAAAGCCCTGCCCACATCTGGAACCTTCTATGTTCAAAAAAAAAAAAAAAAAAAAAACAACAACAACAACAAATGACTGCATGGTCCATGTGGGTGCAGTGCCATTGCCCACAGGTCACTCGCAGGCCTAGGCGTTAAAGCGCTGGGCAGCAGCCCATGCATAGTCTAATCCTTTTTTCCGGGAACTCAGAACCCAGGGAGCTTGGACTTCTTGTCCAGGAGAACGGAGCTAGGAGTGCAACCCGGGGGTCTGTGATAGAACGTCTTCAGCTGCCTGGTGTGGTTGTTAGGAATGGGCGCTATGGATTTGGAGCCTCTAGGTTCAGCCACTAACTGGATGAGCTTATGCAAGCGAGGTGCAGTGTGCCTCAGTTTCCCCATCTGGAAAATGGACACCATGACGATGACAATGTTTACTTCATTGGGTGGGTGTGAGGGTTCAGGTGCAAGATGGCCATGGCCTGATATATGGTAATTGCTAGTTGTGGCTTTCTTAACTACCTGCACTTGAGCAGCGGGAAGACCAAGGAGCGTGTCTAGTGCTGGCAGGTGTGCATTGGGCTAGTTCCTCCTGCCCCCAGCAATGAGGCGGGCCCAGACCAGAACCTTGGAGGCCCTGTGCTGGGGGGGCGGGAGGGTTACAAGGGGGGGGGGGTTACTGTTAGATTTCCCCATTACAGCAGGGGCCCTGAGATACAACCACCTTGAATCTAGTCTCGGCTTTGCCACTGACTTCCTGTGTGACATTGGGCCCCTCTTTTCTCTGGGCTTCTATTTCCCTTTTAAAATTATGATCTCATAGCCCCTTTGTTTCTGATTCTTATAGCACAGAGGGAGGGAGGCGGAGATTCCAAGTGGTATAATTTGTTCTTACTTCTTGAAGCTGGAGGTTTGCCCCCACTCCTCTCCCTGGCCACCTGTGGGCTCTCCAGCCAGAAGCCTAACCTCTCTCCTGCCTCCCTAGGCGTGGCCCTGTCCAGCCTTCCTTCTTCCGTTTTGACTCTTGTTCTTCCTTTTGTCTAGATGAGGAAACTGAGATTCTAAGAGATTAGGTGACTATCAGTCTCCAGTAAGATGTTAGCAGAGCAAGCCTCTTGCTCCTCTTGTGGCCAAGGATTTTACCCCCTTGGGATCCCCCCAGCTTCTCGCTCCCTGAGATCCCCTCTGTTGCTGCTCCTCTTCCCAGTGGGACTGAGGGTGCTGACAACCAGGCCACAAGGGGCTTGCCCTACCCAGGACACCTGAGTGGCTGGAGGCCAGACTGCAGGCTACTCACCTCCATGAGCTGAGCTAACAACAGGTCTCATGCCCTTTCTGAGCCTCAGTTTCTTCTTCAAGAGATCCAACTGCCTTTCTTTCTTAAACACCTCTTCCCTGCCCCCAGTTGGGAAAGATTAAGGGCTAGGCCACAAGTCCAGGTCACCTCTGGAAAGGCCTCTGAGCTCCTTGGGCTTTGAGAACCGAATGCAGGAGCTAGGTAAGACCCCTGATCTGCCCCACCTCCTCTGCTGGATCTTGTCCTGATCCCAAGGGGCCTCAGTTGGGAGCTGCTGGCCAACCCTCAAGGGTCTCAGCTTCGGGAAGCTCTGGGCCTTCAGTCCTGGCCACTCCCAGCCCTTCTGAAAATCCATCATAAAATCGAGGTGAGGTCAGCTCTATAAAGTCAGGGTGAGGTCAGGAGCCAGGGAGGGCCCTCATCTGCCCCTGCTTGCCCACCTTGGCACAGCCAAGGTACCCCACCCTAGAGAGAGCTGTCAGGTGTGGTCACAGATGCTTTCAAGTGTGGTCCTGCCAAGCCCAGCCACGCTCTGGGTGGGGGCTGCCTGCCTGCGGCCAGCGCTTTGTAGACACAAGCTCCCTTCATCTGGGATGAAGCGGGGAGGATCCAGCCTGGTTGCCCCAGCCAGGGGAAGTTGTGCAACCTGGAGCACAGCAGCCCTAAGACACATGGGGATGGGGGGGCACCAACTGAGAATTCACATCCACTTTCAATGGAGCTGTTCTCGAAGGAAGATGCCTAGATCACCCTGACAATCGCAAAGGAAGGTACATGGGTAGCTCTGGTGCAAGGAAGTGGAGGTTTGGGAAAAACTGGGTTTTGGGGTCAGGTTGAATCTCAGGTACTGCTGGTCACTGGCCTGATGACCTCACTGAACCTGCATGTACCCATCTCAAAGGGGACTGATGACACACCCACCTTGCTGGGGAGCGGGGAGTCTCAAGAGAAGTAACGCATGGGAAGTGTCTGCTGCCCAGTGAGTGAGCTTTCATCCCCACTAAGGGCAGCAAGCCTTTAATTCTGGATATGAGGCTTGGCCTAATAAGAGCCACCAGGTTGTATAGACTTTTGGCGCCTCTAAGTATCTTATCAAAGTCCCATTTTTCAGATGAGGAAATTGAGGTCAGAACTGCCCTGAGGTGTCAAAGCTGGTAAAGGGTGGGAGATCAGGCCTCCAGATGCCTCCTCCAAGGGTAGAGACTCCTCTGCAGTACAGGGAGGGCTGTGGGCTGTGGGGGGCACAGGCTTAGGGGTGCTGCCAAGAGTTGCGTTTCTGGGTATGGAGGGTTGGGTTGGGTTCTCTGGGGTCCTTTCAGCTCTGATCAGGCCCCCTTTCTCCAGGGGGTGAACCCTGCACTCAGGCATATGGCTTGGCAAGAGCAGCAAGGACTGAATGTCAGCCCACCTGCCCAACTGTTCTTTGATAATTTTGGCTCTGGCATCCCAGGCATTGAGCTGCCTGGGACAGTTTTTCTGGAATTAAAAGGACAACTCCACCCACAGGGATTTCCCAGAAGCTATGGGGTTAGAGGGGGGGAGGGGAGATAGGAATTGGTGGGGGTCCCCCTTCATCCATAGTCCCAAAGTCTGGGGTGCTCTGTCAGAGCCCCAAGACCAGCATCTCTGCCTCCTTGCCTGGCGCTGTGCCCAAGGCCTTGGCTACACCAGCCACACCCTTGACAGGCCTTTGCCAACTGCGGCTGAGTCAGCCCCTTCCTTGCTGGCTCAGTCACAGAGAAAGCACGAGAATCTTTGGGCAGCTGCTGGAGCTCCCAGAGAAGTCTGACAGCTGACGGATCAAGCAGTTCAATTGCCCTGCTGGGAATTGAATATGTGGGCAGCAGTAATTAGGGGGGGACTCTAGGTCTTTCTGGAAGCCCCTCTGAGAGTCCATTTCCAAAACCCATCTCCATCCTGTCCACCCCTTATGCCTCTCTGGCTTCTGGCTGGTCTTTGGGGTCATCCGACCCTATCGCCTGAAGAGGGGCAAAAGGAGAGTCAGGTGGAGGCTTGGGGATCCATCCTCCTGCTCCACCCCCACACTGCTATGGAGAAGAAAGAATCTATATAGCCTGGGAGTCTGGGGACCTGCATGTCTTTGACTCTGTGACCTTGGCCAGTGGCCCACTCCTGTGACTCATTTTTCTTCATCTGTACAATGAGACCATTGGACTGGATGTTCTCGAAGTCTCCTTCCAGCTTAGTGAATCAAGTTTCTCCCCCTACCCCCCCCCCAATCTAATGCTACACAGAGAGAGAGAGAGAGAGAGAGAGAGAGAGAGAGAGAGAGAAAGTGTGTGTGTGGGGGGGGGTGTACGCAGGGGTGAGTGAGGGGGGGTGAGGTATGATATTCCCTGCAGGGGCTGTGGTGGTAGGAGGCCCCACAGCTGGAGCACCTCCTCATTCTTGGATCTCCTGAGAGCCTTTCTCAGGTGGAGGGAGGCCTGGAGAAGGGCAGGTGCCTGGTAATAGGATTGGGCCGCTGAGAGTGGCAGATGAGAGACCAGGGGCTTCCAAGAGCATGGCAGAAAGGCAGGGGGTGGGGACACCAGCTGGGAACCCCACACTGGGCATGCACACCTGGGACTTGAGGGGGTCTGGGGGCTGTAGGAAACCAGTGAAGAAGGGGAAAAGAGCCCAGGAATGAAGACACAGGCAGCCCTGTCAGCCTTCTGGCTGCTGTGTGTTGGGAGGGAAAAAGGGGGTCCCTGTGGGCCCCGTTTGTGGAGAAAGAGACCACAAAAGGCCCTATTGCACCCTAAAGGCCACATCCTAGGGAGGTCCCTAAGCCTACCCCACCCCCTCCTTCCACCTGACCTGGAACTGGAGTTTCCTGTTTTCTTGCCTGCCTCCCTGGCGGTATTTTTCCCTTTTCCCAAGGTACAGAGCACAGACTGAACCCAGTCTGTGGGAGGGAGAGGGGGCCTGGTACCCACCCCCAAGGTAACAGACACTGCTTCCCCAGGTAGCCAGGGAGGCTGCTGAGGAGGAGGGGGAGGTGGACCTTCGGGGCTCTCTCGGTTAGTGCCCCTTCCGTGGCGAGGCGCCGGCTGGCAGTTTTCCCGCTCCCTGTCGCCACCTAGTGTCTCCCTGCTGCCACCACACCTTGCCTCTGGCCCCACCTTACCTACAGGCCTTCTGCCCCCACACCCAGGTTTCTGGAATTACTCACTGGCTCCCTCGGTCACTCATTCCACTTCATTTCAAGGGTGCCTATTTTGGGGATGCAGAGACCAAGAAGGCATGGCCTGGTCTCTAGAAACTCACGTATATAGGGAGAGATAGACAAATAAAAACCAACAAATCTCTGGAATAAGAACTTGTGGCCTAAAGGTAAGAACAACCCCAGAGATGAGGAGTCAGGAGGAAGTGGCTTGGGACCAGGAAGGCTGCTAACCATGGGCTCACACGAGGTCCAGGGTGTACAGAGGGCCCCGGAGGAGGATCAGGTGGGCTGGGGGGCACTTTAAGTCTCCGTGAGGGGCAAGGAGGCTAGAGGGCAGGAAGAATAGGTGGCAATTCCAGGAACTGGCGTTTCCTGTTTTCCTACCTGCTTTTGTGGGGTGGGGGTGGGGGGTGGGGTGTTGGCTTCCAGAGCCTACAATTTGTGGACCAGATACAGGGGTTCTGTTTCACTGTCCACCCTGTTCCCAAAGACAGGACTGCTCGTGGCACACGGGTTGATCAACAGCGTCCGTTGTGAGGGAATGAATGTTCAGACTTGCATTTTCTGTAGCGTGCAGCCGACTGGAGGCAGCAAGATGGAGGTAGGCTCAGTGGTGAGGAGAAGGGCTTGGGAGGGTTCTTGGTGGGGTGTCTGGGGTCTTTGGTCAAGAGCAGAGGCAGGGCAGAAAGGGAACAAGTGGCACTGTTGGGGGTAGAGCCTGGTTGAGGGGTGCAGAAGAAGGGGGCAGGCTGTCCGTGGAACAGGGGGAAAGGGACAGAATGGGCTGAGAAAGGTGAATTTCTATTTTTAGAGATATTTAGAGGTATTTTTAGAAATTTATTTGGTAGCAAGGAATTAACAGGAATTCCTCATCTCTCTTGTGGGGGTCGGGGGGACAGGGTGAATTTTATGCTAGCCTTTGCATATATTTCATACCCTACCCCTAGGAGGTGGCAGTTCCAGGCCGGGGGCTGCTCTCCCAGAACCACAGCTTGTCCAAGACCCAGTTTTGCTGAACTTGTGTAGAGTTAAAGGATTCGCTGTAGCTTCTCTGTACAGCTTCCTCAGATCAGAAGCACAGGCACTGGCAAAAAGGCCCCTCCAGTGCTCCCCAATCTGGAGGAACAGCAGCTGGGGAGGAGCGAGCATGTGCTCCACAGCCACGGGCGCGGCCCCTGCTCTGAGCACCAGGCCACACCATGGGCGTCCTGTGCCCTGCTCGAGCAGACCAGGGCTGTGGTCTCATAGCTGTCTCCTTAGCCAGGGCGGACTTAAAGAGTGTCTATGAGCCCCAACATTGCATGCCAAATTACAGGTGTGTGTACCTTCATCTGGGGAGGTGTTCTTGACCTTCATCAGGTTCCCAAAAAGCACTGGATTAAAATCCACCATTGAGAAAAAGAGCAGGAACAGGGGGAGGGGGAGGAGAAGGAAATGTATGTTTGTTTTGATCTACATGAAGGAAAGAAATATAATGCTAGCAGCTATTTAAAAACTACTTTCCCTTTCCAGTGCCATCCTAGTGCCCAGCCAGTGTCGGGCTCCCTAATTTGACCCTTTGTCAAACACCTGCTCTAAGCCTGACCTGTGCCCAGCACTTGGTACCTTTCCTTTGGGCTTCACCCCAGCCCTGGTTGTCACCACGCTGGGAAGGGCAAGCCCTGTCCTTGGGCTCTGGGAGGGCCCCTGTGGGGGTCCCTGTGTGGTGCTGGTACCTCCTCCCTCTGCCCTCCCTGAAGCTAGGCCTAGTGTGTGGGGTGTGTAAGAGTGCCCAAGCTGCAGGGAAGGTATTCTTGGACCCCTCAACATCTGCCCCCCAAGATTCATACAAGAAGGGGCTGAGGAGCAGACCCACCAGGCCCTAGTTCTTTGGTCTGAGGAGTCTGAGCCCTTCTCACTTCTCACAGGGAAAGAGCCAGCTCCACATTCCCCGAGTGCCCAAATGCAGAGAGGCCTGATCTCACCACCTGCCATCTGGGCACCGAGTGTTTTATTAGAGTCCAATTTTTATCCGCACCGCGGAGAAAGAGGGAGGAGAAAATAGAGGGGAACCCGGACCACACCCCAGACCCCTCCCCCCGGCTGGAGCCCAGGGCATCTGCCCTGCTGGGCCAAGGAAGACTTCGTGAGATCCCTGAGGGCCCCGGGAGGAGGGGGCTGGGAGCAGCAGAAGAGGGCTGGGGTGACTTCTCCCCCATTGATGCCCAGGCCAAGGCCCTCGGTCTAGACCCTCTCCTGCCCTGGAAGGGCTACAGCACCTCCACTCTGGGGAGCCTCAGCTGACCACCGGGCCCGAGGAGGAAGTGCTCCATGGCAGGTCCCAAGTGCATGTTCCCCTATGCCTGTGACCCTGCGCTGCCATCTGGCCTATGACCCACCCTGGACACGTGGGGACTCCGGTACGCTCATGGGCAGGCTGCATTGGTCCTGCTCACAGGCTCCTCCAGGCCCTCCTCTCTCGCACCTGCTGACCTGGGTCCTGTTTGCTCTCGGGGGCAGCTGCTGCTGTGGTCTGCCTGCCTGCCTCTTGTCACGCAGAAGGCATGGCTGGTATGGCCTTGGCCCAGGGCACGGGGTGAGGGCTGGAGGCCAGACCCTGGTCTAGGAAGGTGGGATCAGGAGTGAGCTCCTTGGTCCTCAGGCTGGGGCCTAGAGGCCATCCTCCTCTTAGACACTGCCTCAACCAGCCCTCCTGGGCCAGGGGCGGGGTTTAGGGAGGCACTGAGCCCAGCCTCCAGCTCACAGCCCCAGCCCTCTGCAGCTTACTCAAGATGCTGCCCCCAGTCTGGACTGTGGTGCGCCGAGGACTAGACCAGTCTTTCTTCTAACTAGATGGTTCTTGGGCTGACACACCTTCTTGTTGGCCAGTAGTAAAGAGGAGCTGAGGGCCCTGCAGAGTGGAGAGGGGAGGCCCCCAGGTCTGGCACTTTCAGAGGTGCCCCTGGGTCCCCTGAGCTGAGGTCCCTAGCCTAGTAAGCAGGCATCAAGCAGGAAGGGGCAGCAGAGCAATCCCTGTGTTCATAGCGGCTCTTTGTTCCCTGGACATGGAGGGTGGGAGGAGGTGGGGGGAGGGACCCTCTAGAAGCAACAGAATCCAGCTCCTCCTTGTCTGCAGGGTGTTCACCCTCAAGGTCTTCCCTGGCCCGGGGACCTTTTTGTAGTGGTGGGGTATGAACCCCCCACCATGGGTCCTGAGGCCTGACGCCTCGCCTCTTCCTGTGCCGGAGGCACCAAGCTGGGTCTGTCTGGACTCAGAAACCCCCACTCTCTGAGCTGCTCCGGCTGTGGTAGCTGGGACTGGGGGTCCGGGAGGGGCTGCGCGTGCGGCTGCGGGTCCCTCGGCTTCGGCTGCTGTAGCTTCCATGGCTGTGGCCAGGGCTGGGGCTGCGGCTGGGGCTGCGGCTGGAGTAGTCGCTGCTCAGGCAGCTGGAGGAGGACGAGGGGCTGGGCCGGTAGTAGGGGATGGGGCGCTTTCGGGCACTGTTGGGAAGAAAAGTCTGTTATAGGCCGCCCAGGACCTTGACATCTGCCAGTCCTGGGCCCTTACTTGGCCCTGAGCCCCACCCCAGCAGCAGCCGAGAGGGCTTCCTTGCCTCAGTTTCCCCTGAGCCCTTGCCTCGGAGTATCTCCTGTCCCAACTGGACTGGACAGCCTGTGGTCATCTGCCAATTTCATGTTGATTACTTTGCTTCTCCTCATTTATGTGGCCTAAGTAGGGGTGCCATTGTTTGTTGAATGAATGGAACTTAATTATAGGCAACTCACATCAGCCACACTCAGCAGTGGCTTCTTTGCATGGAAGGGTTTGTAAACATAGTCTAGCCCTCCACCTCTTTTCCCCACAGAATTGAGATTATGGCTTTCAGGTCACTTGAAGGGAAAAGGGAGGAGAACCCTGGCTGCTGCTGCCCGTGCCCAAGGCCCAGCCCCCTCCACCCCCCAAACACACACACTCGCACCCACTCCTCACTCAGCTACTTCCCACCGCTGGTCCCCAGTTAGTTTGAAGCCAGGAGGCTAGGACCCCAAGAAAAGAAAAGAGAGTGGTTACAGGAGCAACAATGCCCCATCGCGAGGGATTAATTCTGAGGAAGAAAATGGGTACATTAGTGGGAGGAGGAGGCAGCCTGGGAGAGGGCTGAGGTGAGTGCCAGGGGGGAGGCGTGGGGCCCTCCAGTACGTGTGTGGGTGTACCACTGTGGGGGGGGGTCTCCCAGGTCTCAGAGCTGGCATCTAGCTGAGTGGGGGGCGAAGACCATGCCCTTGCTTCCCCTGGCAACCTGGATCATCAAGGACCAGAAGGGCTGGTTTGAGAATCTGCGCATGTTAGAGCTGGAAAGATGCTCAGGGAGCCCTGAGGGACCCTGGACCCTGAGGGCACGTGCTCTGACCCCTCGCCACCCACCACAAGGTTGCCCAGCAAGGCTGTGGCAGAGCTGGGCTCAGAATTTTCCTCCTGGCCTTCTACATCCTGACAGCGATTTTGAACTTCAGGGGGATTTCCACAAGTGCAGGCCATAATCTCACCAGGAGACCCAGGCCCCCCTCCAACCCTGGCAGAGAAGCTCTGTTTAGGGCTGACAAGTGTGACAAGTCACACCCTTGTCACAGCCCTACTGGCTGAGCTGGTAAGGTAGGAGGGACGGCCCCTCCCAAGGCTGCCCCAGAGGCCAGGCAGCTGGCGCCCCTCCTCCAAACTGCCCAGGAGACTGGGAGGTGAGCAGTGAAGTTAGAAAGGAAAGGAGAGGCAGACAGACTATGGCGGAACAGAGCCAGGTCAGCTCACATGGGCATCTCCCCTGCAGCCTGTGGAGAGGGGGTCACCTGGCCCCCAGGCTGCCCACAGGCCACTCAGCAGGCTGGACCTTGAGATGAAGGAGAAAAGGAGACATCATTGCCAGGAGACAGATATGAGGGGGGCGTGCTGGAGACAAAGACTCCAGGAGTCATGGCAGAAATCTTCCAGAGCGGAACTCCATGCCTGCTCTGTGCACGCAGACCCAAATTCGGAGCCCTCCCCTCCGTAGGCCTTCAAGGCTCCATGGGGACCCTTCCCTTCCCGAGGCCTCTTTCCCTCACCGAACCTCTCCCCAGTCTCTGATCTCCTCCCCACCTCTCCCCGGCACCCCCAAGAGCCCCCAGCCCTCACGGACCTCCCAGTCCCCTACGCTGACCCGCTCCTCTGCCCGCACCAGGTTCAGTCGTCCTCCGGGAGTCCAGGGACCCCCGACCCTCGTACCTGGTGATGCGCCGGGGCTCCATGAAGCTGGGCGAGTCCCGGCGCCGCTTGCGGATGGGCGAGTAGCTGCGGGAGCGGCGCCGGGCGCGGGCGGCCTCGGCCTCGGCGTGGCGGGCGCGGCTGTCGCTGTCCTTGTCCCTGCGGGGTCAGGCCGGGGTGAGCGATGCGTCCCGGGGTCTCCCCGCCGCCGCCCGTGGCCGCGGGGTCCGGGCCGCACTCACCAGCCCGGGGTTTTCTTGGGCGAGGGCGAGCGGCTGGGGCTGCGCGGCCTCTTCTCCGCCGACGGCGAGCGGCTGGAGCTCCAGGACCGCGGGTGGGGGCCCGGGCTGCGCGACGAACTCTTCCCCTCGGGGTCGCCGTGCCGGCCGCG